TGTTGAAGCTAGGTGTCAGGACGTCGAATGTCTCAGTACTTTATCAGCTTTGTGCCTAGTTGTTGCACTTTCTGACTGTAGAGTATCTGGTTACTGTGATGGAGAGTAACTCTTAACTCGTATCCATATGTCATCTTCCTTAAAACTTATTGACGTTTATATTTGCTATTTAACTCGGATGGCGAGCCAATTGAATTAATGTGAAAAGACTGTATAACATCTGGTTACGTTGGTGGATAGTTAGTCATAACTCGAAACATTTTGTCCTTCTTCTTTTCACAACATTTGCTATTATTATTCATTCTCACTTTCTTGTGTTGGTGATACGCATATGCAACGCGTATAATTCTCATACCCTTGTTTTGTGCACACCTTTATGAGAAGTATCACACTTTGATATTTTAGTCCTGTCACTGTACCTTGCTACTCTAACTTGATTGCTATATTATTTCCTTTGTTCTTATTTTTGTTCTTTAGTACAACGGTGATTCCTGAAGAGTGTTGTACGAAAACATGTTCGAATCTTCTTTCTTCCATCGCTTTTTCTCCTTACCTTTTAGATCGTTTTTCGCACCGTCTCCAGAACTTAACAATGTTTAATAAAATAGTCAAAATATCACTTAAGCTCGTCCTCCTTATTGCAATATTAAAATTATTGTCTCCACGTCGAATATTTAAAGGAGACTGTTTTAATTTTTCATCGAAAATTCACGAAAAGATAACAACCCATTCGTTTATTACGCTCCTGCTTGTAGCAGTTTAGCACTCTTGTGTGGGGTAGTGCCTTTGCTGTTTGCGGTCCTGACTTGTCAGTTTGAGCACTCTGACAAGTTACGTTCCGGCTTGGTTTCTGGCTTTGGAAACTATTTTTTCATTGCTACCAGGCTCGGGCTCATTTTCTCTGTGCTGCACTGATGAGTACACAAAGGACGAAACAGGTCTGTCCGCAGATTGAGTAATAATCCATTTATAAAGCCTTTTTATCAATTTTTGTTCGAAAGTACAAATAAGATATCACGAGGTTAGGGAGGGTTCCTCTCCAGAGATACAACGAGTAACATTTTCAAACTTCATCTCCACGTAATCAATCACCACACATCTATGCAAGATCGGAATTCCTCGCTATGGTTTGGTGCATGTGGACCAAGAGCGCAGTGCGGAGAGGTGACGAATTTCAATTTATTTTCAAATGGCCGAGTTCGTCGCAACTTCTGAGTTATCTTCACCTTGCCCGATTAAGTAGAAGTAGTAGTACAAGTAGTAGTAGTAGTAGTAGTAGTAGTAGTATTTTACTTGTGTATACCCAACAGGCCTATGGCCTTCTTACAGGGTGGCCAAGGAGAAATTGTGAGCAGCTAGCGCCAAAAGCAGGCAAGGTACGCTGGGATCGTATGATCGCTGGAAGTGCACCAAGAGCGGTCAGCACCAAGAAATGAGAGACTGTAGAGGCCTGGCCGGGACATGAATAGGGGGAGAAAGAGACTACTGAATGTTTGGCTTCTGGTCTGGGAGGCAGTGTGGGTAGCATCATTTCGGGTCTTGAAGATTTGTCAGGTGAGGGGACTGCCAAGGGACCTGATGCACCGAAAAGTAAAAATGAACAGCTTCAAATGTCGGCAAGAATCAAACCTGACTAATCTATGGTGTAACCTCCACATCCGCACACGCTACATTTATCTGTGGTTGCTTGAGTAATGCAAGCGGGACTCTAGTAAAGGCCCTGCAGTGAGAGTCGTCACAGACTGGAAAGAAAATCACATTCATGTCGAGCTAAGCAGGAGTGTTTGCGGGAGACCCAAGAACGCGACATAGGAGAACAAACCACGGAATGTGAGTTTTATATGTAGGACTCAGTGAGCAGTCACGTCTCGATGACCGATCACAATCCCCGTGACCAATCAAACAGTCACAAATCCCCGAAGAGCAGTCATAAAGACATTAAGTCACACACCAGTTTGAATCCCGATGACCAGTCAGAAACAGCCGCGACTTTCTCCGTGAACGGTCACAGGATCCACGTCAAAATATTACGACTCAACTGTAGGCATTCACGCGTTCAGCATACTTTTTTCCTTCACAATCACAGGTTTCAGAAGTGAGCAAGAAAGATTTCGATCAACTCTAGATCTCCGCGTAGTCTACTTGTAGCTCGAGTCTGGTGTGTGTGGGCTCCTCTCCAAAACGAAGGGTGGTCGAAAGTCTTGCAGGCTTCAGATAGAATTCCTTTTGAGAGGACGTTCTGGCTAGTAGATTGTGCTATTCAGCATATTTGAAGAACAAACTAAATTACTTCGTCAATCAGAAAAGCTATTTCGGAATATTTTCAGTCATGTAATTTTTGCAAGCCGATCTTGCTAGAACAGAGACTGACTTCAACTGATCCAGCATACAAGCAGCACTCGATTTGTGTTTTTGGAGAGGATGGGTGACAAGATTATGGAGTCAGAAGTGGACATGTCGACGATGCAGAGACGAAAATATAATGAAGATGGAAATGAAAATAGGTTCATCTCCAAGAAGGTACTGAGTGCATCAAGCACCTTCATGTGTGTAGCTCTGTCTTTCTTGTGGAAGACTCCACAGAAAAACAATGTCCAGCTTGTCGAAACTGAAACTGCCTCTCAGTTGAAGTCGTTCAGGAAGACATCTATTCAAGACATCATTGATCCATTCTCAAGAACCATCGTAAGAAATTAAATCAAGTCATGTTTATCGATAAGAATGGCGAACTAAACCAGAGAAGTGTGAGTGTCTTGTTTTGACTGCAGGAAACTGTATTTCAATATTGTGGCTCAACGTAGTGCTTACGCAGTTTACTGCATCGAACATATCTTCATTCCTACTCCCAAAATAATGATTTATTGATGTAACATTATGGTACATGGTCTTTCTCGTTGTGCTGCTATAACGTGTATTATAAGTACATGCATACGAGTACTGTGTACCGTTTACTGTCTCCTTGTCAGTGTTTTTGGGCGATCCTCCACACCTTCATGTGTCTTCTAATTATTAATTTTATAGAAATATACACTCACTTCAACTTCTTTTGATTGCTGGTGCGACTGTAGCCTGCGATGCCTGCTTGTTAGTGAGAGTGCACCAGACATGTGTCGATATGTATGTCTGACGAGATGTTCTTGAACTGGCATGCTGCTTTGACAAGAGCTTTGCTTAAATAAGGTTTAGAATTGGGTGCTCAATGGCCAGGAGGAATTAATCATGTTCGTGATCAGTATCACCAAGAGTACGGTTCTTCCGTCTACGCATCTCTTCTTGGCTTGTGGATTGGTTGAAAAGAGATAAAATAATAATACAGAAATACTTGTGTCCAAGTGTCGTCATGAAAAAATGTTCTACCTCCGTAACTTTGTCCGCAAGGTCACGTGAATCTAGGTGGTAGTCCCGCTGCCTATTTGTGTGTGTGTGAGTGTGTGTGTGAGAGTAAGTGTGCGCGCGCATGTGTGAGTGTGTGTGTGTGTGCATGCGTGAGAAAGAGAGTGCGTGTGTGTGTGAGAGAGAGATAGAATGTGTGTGTGTGTGTATGCGTGTGAGAAAGAGATCTAGAGAATGTGTGTGTGTGTGTGCGTGCGTGGATGTGTGTGTGTGTGTGTGTTGTAGAGAATGAATGTGTGTGTGTGAGAGAGAGAGAGATTTAGAGAATGAGTGTGTGTGTGTGCGTGTGTGCGCGCGTGTACGCGCGCATGAGTGTGAGTGTATGTGTATGTGAGAAAAGGGAGAGAGTGTGGGTGTATGTGTGTGTAATGGTGTGGGCATGTGTGGATTTGGCATTTAAGTCCCCAGCTCTATTCTATGTCATTGACGCTGGAACTGCTGCTGCATAGCCCCAAGTCTGAAGACTTGGTTACTTCACGCCTGCACCTGACTCTTGCGCTATGATACGCGTCGCCTATGATACCCCTCAGAATTTCCCACCTTGCTCCCCCTTATGTTCAGACTGCCCGTTTAGGAGCCATCAGTTGCCTGACGATCGTAGTAATACGTGAAACTCAGAGTTGTGACAAAACCTCCAATCTCTCTTGTAATACAGAAATACATATATTCTGCCTGTGAATACTCACAGAGAAAGAGTGGTCACAACTGTACATTCCGCGTGAAACTGTTCGCATGGAATTATAGTGGTCACAACTGTATTCTGTGACCGCTCATAGGGAATTGTAGTTTCCACAACAAATCCTGCGGGTACGAAGCACCCTGCGAGCAGTCACGAACTGTGTGCTTTACACATGTACATGTATGGTGATTTGTGACTGGTCATGGGGGCATTGTGACTGGTAAACTAATTTATGATTGGTCATGGGGGGTTTGTGGCTGTTTGACTGGTCATGGGGACCGTGATTGGTCACGGGGCCTTGACTGGTCACTGAGTCCTACATATATAAGGAAGATTTTTCCTGATACTCTCTCAGGCAGAGTTTTAGCATCCACACGAGTGTCAAAACTCTGCAGGCTCAAGCCGTAGATCAGACCGACCGTCAAGTAGTCAATGACCGAAAATCCCATTTGCTGCATCCATGTTTTCCTTGTGGCACACTACGAGTTACCAAAATATTAACTGTATGGTGAACCACACTTCCCCCATCCGATATACATGGACTTGTATGTTTTCATTGCCTATACGTTTCATTCATTATTTCAACGGTCCTTTGAAAGGAAAAGAAAGGACATCACGACAGTATCTTGGAAGAGTAGATAACGTAGAAGGTACGTGAAACGGTCTCCCTCTGCAGTAGAGGTGTAAGGGGAATGAAATTCGGACAACTTGGCTTGTGCTGCTTTTCGGTTTTGTTGATGTCGTTTCTTTTCCTTTCCAGGAATCCTGATCCCGGTGTACTTTGTGTGTGCAGACGCCGACAACATCAAGCTGGATTGAGAAGCACGGCCAGACCACCACTACCCGCATTTATTAGGAAGCAGAGTGGACGTAACTCTGCTAACATAGAAACATTGTTGAGTCACACTTACATTACAGTGCCACTTACCTTAAACTGAAGCACCATAGTGCTGGTCTCTACTGGTTGCAACAATATTGAGAACCAGCACTGGTTAATGTTCTCAATTACAATGGTAAATTCAAATCCGGCCAACAAAACCCTATCGGAGACAACAGAAGGATAGGAACCATCGAGTTACCTTGAATCAATCACCATTCACCAAACAAAACTAACCAAATGTTTCCACATACCAGCTGTTGGTGAATATTCCAGGATCAATCGGGTGTAGCACACGGATCGCGATAAGGTTCGTTTGCCTTGCGAAAATGAGCGCTGCTTCCGGGAGCAAAGCCTTCAATGAAACAAATTAATTACTATTTGCTCGCTTTCAGCTTTGACTCTCTGCAGGTATATGCAAAACACAGGCACGAGGAGTGCCGTGATATCAGTCTATGGTACTCCGTAGCAGCTCGGTTGGCTGCTGCACGTTTGGCGTAGATATCCTTTGCTGACTTACAAACACAAGCCTAGGAAATGAGCTACACGTACATGTACATGTATATGCACCGGCAACTAGATGTCTAATGTACATGTATACCAGGGCTATGAGTGGCACGCAGTGGCCACATGCCAGTGCTACTGTGCATGTATGTTCGACATGTCATGAGCTCAAACACACAAGCTTATCGATAACGTGACATGTCACAAGAATATTTTCCAACTATACATGGGAAAAAATTAGACGCGATATGACGCCAATCAGGGAATATGGCTGCCTGCTACACAGACAGTAGTCGAAAATAGCTCTTAGTCGGCTGAACTCAGCCTCACATGACTTTAACATTGCGCCTGGGGCAAACCCGCTTATCACTGCTTATCATCAAGATGTCATTAGATGAACAGCATGACATTGTGGAACGTGCCAAACACATTCTTGATATAGTTGACTCAGCCTCTTTCATCGGCAAAATAAACACAATGAATATTTTTTCCCAAGTGTTCCAAAAACTTCAAATCAAAGTTCTAGAAAGAAAAAAGAAGGAAAAACACGCAAAAAACAAAACAGCATAATAATGTATTTTTTGCATGACGAAGAGCTCACTGACTTGTCAGTTTGAGCACTCTCGCAAGGTACGTTCGGGCCTGATTGGAAATTTTTATTTCCATTGCTATCAGGTTCGGCCTCATTTCCTCTGTGCTGCGCTGATGAGTTAACAAAGAACGGAACAGCATGCTGTCCGCAGATTGAGTATTTACCTACTTAGGTAAACAGCAGCAAGTTCAACTTCAAATCAATATTCCAGGTACTGTTCCCGCTCGTGCACGCTAAGCCGGTGCCCGGGCCTCTACCACTGCCAGCGCTACACATACAGTAGTCGCTACATATGCGTACATGTGCGTACATGTGCGTACATGTGCGTACTGTATAGGGGATGTACTAGAGCCCGAATGAGCCAGACTTAACCCAGTGAAGGCAAATCTTACTAGGGCGCTCAGATACCTGCAGGGTCGTGTCGAATGTAAAGAGAGAGGGAGAGGGACATCTGAGCTCCTTGCCTACATCAATCCGGTGCATTATCTTCGCACAACATAGTTTGGGACATAGCTGGTGCACATGTTCGCTTTGTCCACCTTCCCCTCTTCGCTCTGACCGCTATCTAGAACCTTCACTGCATAATTGGGGAACACCTTTTTTTTGTTATTATTATTCCACGATCGAGGCATGCTGCCGGTATGGAATTTCAGAAGGTAATATTGGTACATCAAGAGATGCGTTAGACCATCACACCATCCCCGATCATTGCGCTGGCTATGCCCAATGAGCAAAACTGTTTTCACTTTTGTGAAGGGTTTGTAAGTTTGTGATCTGCAAAGTTCAAGTACAACTGCAGGGCAGGTACATGTACATGTAGGTATTGAGGGCGTGGGCGGAGGGGGCGTGGGCGGAGGGGGGGGGGTGACGGGCCGGAACAGAGGAGCATCTATAATGCACTATGCTATGACCTTAGTGGATATAGCATTTCTGGTCGGTCGCAAACGTTCCTGACCAGTGTCTGCTCCAGCGCCGGGTGAGCCGGGTAATCCACCCGGTCGGGCGGCGCTTGGACCCTGTTGAAAATATAGTACCGGGTCACATGTGACCCGGTTGGTACTTTACACTTTCGAACTTTGAAAGGACTGACTACATGGCTTGTATGTGTCAGATACCTCTTCTTCTTTCGTAATTTTCGAATTCCTGTCTTCTCTTTTCTAAATGCGGCTTATCCATTCGCCTTTATATCACTGGGCCTAGTTCCCGTTTATGGTCCGAATTAAAATAAACCAACCAACCAGTTAAATCATGTGACTCGGCTGGTGAGACGGCGCCAGGTACATGTACAGGTACATGCGTACCCGGCTCCGACCCGTTTGACATGGTTGCGCCAGGTACACGTGTACCCGGCTGTCCTACAATCCTGGAGCAGACACTGCTGACCTGGCTGGAACAGTCGATTTCTCTATACATTTTTCGATTCAATGTGCGACTTGACATTGCCGTCTGGCAGGCTTCATACGCAACCAAATCCATCTGGTGAGACTTGACGCCAAGACATGCATGTCGTCTGACCCTCACGTGTCCAACTCACTCTATCTGCTCACATTTCCCAGCCACTCTAGATGCTGGATATGTACATGGACTCTTATACTCAGCTTCTCATTGTCCATCATTAAAAAGTGTGCTTTTGAAAACCTCACACAATCCCCCTAGCCTGGGTGGTGCATAACACCGAAGACAGGTAGACGCTGGGTGTGTGTGAGGGGGGGGGGGCATCCATTCGGGGTCCAGGCAGCGCACGCCTATAACAACATGCCCCTGATATATTATGTTTTCCAACTTTACATGGGTGAATGGCCACCATACCGATCTGAACCACCAGAAGCCTGCGTCAAAGGAGTCGAGTTTTGGCTTTTGTAGCGCATGCCACTTGTACATTGCACAACACAGCCTGTCACAGTTTGTCAGCAACATGCCATCGGACAACCTACACCCTACATGCCATGGTTAAACTAGCAGAGCAACTACACACATGTAAGCCCGAACATGGGCACACAGGCAATGTGCAGGTGAGTAAATCATAGAGGCCGTCAATATCTTCATGTATTGGAGGAGAGCCAAGAGAGTTCATGTCACTTGTCATCAACATGCCTTCGAACAACCTGCATGCCATCGTGAAACGTGCAGAGCATCTACACTTGACACCCCTCACACGGCCTACCCAAGATGTGCTATTGACCAAAATCACAGATGCTGTCAAGTTCTTCAGTACAGACTAATGCATCACGGGTCCAAATGAACCAGACTAAAGCAATAATTAGTATACTAAAGTAGTTGAACTACGACTGATCCAAGGCCAGGGTGACACCCAAATGCTTGCATGTCTTTCCTCTGAATATTGTACAAGGGGATGACGGTGACCATACATTTATAATGCAGGCTAGGTACATGACGCTACGGGCAACCAAAGACTGCTGCAGCTCTGTGTGTGATGAACAGGGAACACTCATGAACCTACACAACCCACACAGCCATACGTGCGCTTCGATTCAACAACTTGCTATTCTTGTCGGCTCGGAACATAATAATTATACAAGAATGTCTTCATGCATGAGAAATCATCCGTGGAACAAACATCGAACAAATGCCCGTGAGTTGGCCGTGTGTGACCCCTGATTAATTGCAGACAGCCCACCATCATTTCCCAAATGTCACCATTTGTCGAGGTCTGGTATAAAAAGCCCCTCATTATTTTCCATACTTTAACCTCGAGCAAGTATTCCCGAAGCATCGGAATGACCACGTCTAAATATAACAATGGGTGATTGTCCTCTAGCCATGGGCGCACTGGTAATGACCGAAAAACAATACTGAATGCTAAAAAAAGGAACCCAAGGGATCAGAATGATTGCCGAGGAATACATAAAATACTGAATGCTACCTACATGTATACACTCTGTAAAACACGTTTACTGGTTGGATCACGCTTATCTTGACATTACCATGCAGCCCATTCTCCTCTCCAGGTGGTGGGCTGCACATTAATTTGGGCGTCGTCCTTTGTTACCTACATATTAAGAGTCAATCCACAGTGCATTGTATCTCTCACAGTGCATTGTATCTCCTGCAGTGTATTGTATCTCTCACACTGCATTGTATCTCTCACAGTGCATTGTATCTCTGTTTGCAAGCTTTTTCACCCGTAGTCCCTCTCTCCGAACACGAGGAGGGAGCAGCAAGTTACTCATCATTCCTGTCTCCCCCACAGCATCCTCAGCTAAGCGCATTAGCCATGCTGGAGCTATCCTGTGGAACCAGCTCCCAGACACTGCACGCCTCGAAAGAAAGCGCTCCACTTTCAAGTCGCTAAGCCTGGCCTTTCTGTTAGGCAGTACCGTCAACTAGGATGAACTCATCTGCTTCACTACCTCTCTCTCTCTCCCTCTCTCTCTCTCTCTCTCTCTCTCTCTCTCTCTCTCTCTCTCTCTCTCTCTCCTCTCTCTCACTCACTCACTTTCTTCTTCCCGGTTGCCGTGCTTGTGACTTTTTTTTCCCCTGCTGCCGTGCTCATATTAGTTATCTAACTACAGCTGTATCTTCTTCTTGGTTCTGTTTGTCCGCTTATTATTATATATTTTTCTTTTCTCTTATTATCAGTGGGACCATTGTCATTAGGTTTAGGCCTGTTTTGGAACTCCACTTTAAATAAAGCCAAACAACAACAACACAACATCTCTCACAGTGCATTGTATCTCTTGCAGTGCATTGTATGGCTTGCAGAGCATTGTATATCTTGCAGTGCATTGTATCTCTCACAGTGCATTGTATCTCTTGCAGTGCATTGTATCTCTTGCAGTGCATTGTATGGCTTGCAGTTGTCTATCTCTCTTCACACTATCGGGTATCATCGTGTCAAAAAAAGATACAAATTAATGGAATCACATGCATACAATGTAACCTTCGAGTAGTTGTTCTGAAGTCCACATTTATTAAATATAATGCTAGGCGCATAGGCGTGAGTTCTTGGAGAGCATATACTTAACCGTGTTCCTAAGTCACTGCTCTGTTCTTGTGGTTCCTGTAGCACTGGTTAGGAATCACAAACACAAGGTCATAGGAGTGGAATGCACAGATCCAGCATTGCTGTGGCGCCTGATCAGTAGACAAAATAGAAAATGTGTTGTGTCTTCCCGTTTACATGATTGTGCTTGTTCTATCTTGACTACGCTAGAATCACTCACATAAGACTGTACTCAGGTGTAGTGTCAAGGGAGGACGTGTAAGATAGAATGGGGA